TATCCCCTTCCTGTTCAATACCATTATAGTGCTTTACCCTATTGTTTGTCTGCATGTGCCACATATAGGTATTAAATTGCTTGCATGAATACTTCGAAATATAGAAATGTATTACATTTCATGCTTTTATTATTAATCATTGATAATTTGAATACAAGTTTGTATGTTTTGTAAGGTTAATAAAACATAACTGGAGGTCATCATACAATCGTTTGAGGTCATCAAACACCAGCAGGTAGACCATCTCGGAAAACTCATTGTGTCCATGAGAATTTTGTTAACAAATAAGTTATATATATATTGTCCCGAACTGTGCAATAGAACCAGTGTTACAGCTAATAGTGGTCGTATTTCTAGAACTTAAGTTGTATTACTTTCTTTGGTGAACTTCAGCTTATCATTTATCGACAAAGTTCAGTTGATTGGACCAGTCCATTAATGAACTTAAATTGCAACAATTCGTTGATGAACCTCAATTGCAAAAATTTGACAAGGCCAGCCACAAAAATATATGTGTTTCCTGTAACATGTTGGAAAAAATTAGGGTTAGGTAGGTAACAAATTTTATTTAAAAAAACAATTTTATATGGACTTGACTTTAACAGTGCTTCTTTGAAAATTGCCACAAAAAGTAAGGATAGGTAGAGTTACCGAAAACACCAAATATTTTTTGTTTGGCCCAATGAACCTCAATTGCATCAATTCTCATTGATGAACTTCAGTTGCATTAATTCAAACAATCAACATCTTTTGCATTTATTAATACATGACTTTAAATTCAATATTATCAATGTATTGATTCAATTTGTTCATTTATTGATGAACTGTAATTGCACTACTGGTATTTACATGTGTGTAAAGTGTTTTAATTCTTTTTTTGTGATTTTTATGACATGTACAATTACATTTACAGCAGACCAAGGTACTATTCTACAGCTATGATAGTTTCTACACACAGTGTAACAGGTTAACCTTTGTAAAGTCTAACAGGTTTATTTTGTGATGTAAACTTTGAATAATGTTTTCATTTGACAGGTTTTGATTTTTTATAATGTAACATGTTTTTCGAGGACGTAGTGGGTTTATCATTTATTTTGTTTAATATCTTGTTTATTTTCTTACTAAAAAAATCCCTACCTTTTTTCCCTTTCCAAATAATTGCATTTCCATAGTTACACAAGTTCTTTAACTAGCTTTAAGAATTTAGCTAATATTATACAGGTAGATGATGGTAGTACTGTATTTTAGTTTTACCTGTGATAAATTGCCAACAATTCATAATGCTGAATTGTAGCTGTATATAGCTAGCAAGAAGTTGTTTTTGCAGATATTACCCTCAAATCAGTAAACTATAGGGATATACAAGACCTGAGGTAATGTTGACCACAGAAAACCTCCACACTAGTACTGCTCATTGACATTAGAGGTATAGGGTCCAAATTACCAGGTGTCGAACATTTCTTATAGAAAAAGTGATTCTTAAAAAATGGCCTTGAGGGAGCTGCATGAGATGAAACAGGAATGTTTATCAAACTACTAACCATGTCTTGTGTGTTCCTTATCCACCTGGCCTGAATGTTTACCTAACACTCTTCAGACAGCTAGCTAACGTTATAGGGATTAATATGCTCCTTTCCCTGTATAGTCTGCTGTAGGTAATATCAATCTATTCAGGGTACAAGGTTTTCAATCATGTAAATCTATTTAAAAATTACTAACAGGAAATTAAATTCAAAACAATATTTTTGATAGGAGTAAATTTGAAATTTCACAAAAATGATTATCTAGTGTCAAAAACGGTATATGTGCTTCATATCTTAAACATTTCATGCTACTAAATACTTCTGTAAAACTAGCCAGGGAAGGATGTGGTAGTGTACTGCAGGGCAGCTCAGTGGGGAAAACTGGTCAGTGTTGCTGGGCACAGACAATATGTGGCTTTGTCATGTATTGTAGGGGTCTTACTGAAGGACTATCATAATTCACGGGGCATTAAGAAAGCGCCTTTGATGACCGTTAAGATGTTTATGTTTTAGGATATTGACTTTAGGTCTAAGGTGCTGTCCAACTTATGTACCAGATATGACAGTGACATCTATACACATTACATATAGCACATCCACCCTAAATACTGATAAATCCTTTTTATGAACATCATAGCTTATATAAGCATGTTCAAATTTCTTTCAAATATTATTTTGAGGTTTCAGCTCCGAGTCCTACCTGACCCTGAATTGTGATATATGTAAAACACATATCAGCTATTTTGTGTGATCTTTTTAAAGACTTCTGCTTCCTACCATTATTACAATTTAGAGAAAGTGTCAAAATGCTTTTGGAATTGAAGTTGAGGTCAAGAAGAAAAAGGCATATAAATAAATGTCTATTTCATGAAGGTAAAAAAAATCAGGGCAGGTTACCAAGTAGCGCAATTGGCATTGGCAGTTCGGAAGTTCTGGGTTTTAATTCCAATTATGAACTTTTTGCATTTTCCCCTTACTCTTACAAATCCACCAATCTGCTACTGCGTGGTTTAGTGACCTCCTTAGGTAATTGAAACAGGTGTGTAGTCCTGTCACACATACAGGTAGCGCTAACACCACGACTCACCTGGAACATATTAGATTGGATTTTTGTATATTAGAAAATATTTAAAGTACCATGCAGTAGTGAACCTGAATGTTGGCTTGTGTACAAGGCTTTGATAACCTGAACACACTAGGTAAACATGATTGGCAAGGCATTTACAGTTATGAATATCTTGTCTGCATGAATTACTTGTCCAGGCTTGTGTGCAACATTCAATAGCATTTTATGATGTATAGAATGTGGCTCCTTTCATTTCATTTATCATACATACCTGGTATACATATAGCAGTCCCATGCCTAATAAGCTGGCTGTGTTGGAGAGTGACAAAGTCTGGCTGTATATATCTTACAAACATTCTCGTGTCCCTGTCTCATTGTCCTGGAGGTAATGGATTCTAGCCACCTCCAGCGGTAACAGTCAGTGTTTGATTTGGCATGAAGATCTAAATAAAATGGCACAATGATCAACACAACTTTATATACACATTAATTAATGGGCTTTAGTGGTTTTATTGGTTTGTGTGCGAGACCTGTTTAAATTAATATGACAATGTGTGTGACATGTTTGTGTCATATTTGTATGTTCACAAGTTGCCTTTCTCACTATTTCACTTTTTTTTCTGTGATGGGAATTGCTTCCAATTTATATTTAGGCACTATGGAAAAAAATGTGTATTCCCTCCAAAAGATATTCTGTCATAACTGGCTATATACCTTGTCATCATTGTTATATTGTATTCAACCTAATAAGTACAAAAATACTTACCCATCTGCCAATATAGTAACTAATCAAACAGGATCTTGTTTTGGAGATATTTGATAATGTATTTGATTTTAAAACTCAGCAGTGCTTTAGGACTGTGTTCGGAGTTTGGAGGTAGTTGACAGTTGTCAGCTCTAGTTTGTAAGCTGTGACAAGCTCTTAGAGTCAATATCAATGACAAATGTTTATGATTGTATTGTGTTCTTCTGATATTATGTGGGAAAAAAAATGTGAATGATAAACAAAGTATATATGGGGGGTCAATATCGGTAGGGTTCTAATGAAAAGTATCTGGTGGGATAGGGGGTACATTTTGTTATCCGGGGACTGGAGAGTTGTAGAGAGGTCGGGTAATGATTGTAAATATTTCTATATATATATGCCCCTTATTTCCTGGCCCTGAGGTGGGGCCTGAGGTGGGGATTTGGTTGGGTAGGGATGGATAAATATTCCCTTGTCATATTCTATTCCACTTCCACTTATTTACTCTTTTAGATTTACAATGTTGAAATATATGATTTTTCAGGAGGGAGGGGGGGGGGGGATTTTTATGCAGGAGGGGTACTTTTTGGTAGGGGTATTAAAAGTATCCAGATACCTTTTATGCTGGAGGTAAATTTTATGCATACCGATCAATACATTTTTGAAAATCTTAGAACTTGATATTAAATGTAACAAGTAGTAACCTCTCCATCTAATCAAGGCTGATCTGTTTTAGGAATACCAGAAATACAATCCTAACCAGGACTCACAGCTCCGACAGCTGGCAGAAAACCACGGTCGGCAAATGGAGTACCTCCAAATCAAAAACAGGGACCTGGAAAAACAACGTGAAGGTAGGTAAATGATAATGAGTTGGAGGGTATTCCAGGATGGAAAATAATAGAAAGTCTGAGGGTAAGGACAGCTGGGGGATGGGTATATGGAGACTTGTAAGAGATCAGTCCAAGGATTGAGAATAATAAAAGGTATGGTGGGGTTATGCTATGGTTAGGAAACGATAGGGATTTTGTGTTGGACAGGGACGACAAGAGATGACTCTAGAAGAAAAAACCTCTGGAAAATGTGTGTACAATCTGGATCAGTGTATAGCAACTGTATCTACACAGCAAGGCTATTGAGCGTCATTTGGGAGAGGCTATACAGCCATGGAAAGATGAAGAGAGTTTGTGCATGCTGAAAAGAGATACATTTATTGGCACATTAAACTCCAACTATAGAGTATGAAATTATTTCTTTTCCATCATCCTTTATCATATATGTTACAGATATCAGACGACGTCTGGAAGAGTTGGCCAACAAAGGGAGTAAGCCACAACCTACAGACAATACATCACAACTTCTGTCAGAACTTCGTGCCCAGGAAGAACGTAACAAGATGGCTCTGGATGATCTCAGAAGACAGCTTTATGACATCCACGGTCAACGTGTCAACTTCATGTAAGTCAAATTCTGAAAACATGACTCATGTGTACAACTTATGTATCCCACACTTAGGTACTGTAGCCAGCATGTTCTGCCTAAACTAGTTAGGTACTGTAGCCAGCATGTTCTACTTAAACTAGTTAGGTACTGTAGCCAGCATGTTCTACTTAAACTAGTTAGGTACTGTAGCCAGCATGTTCTACTTAAACTAGTTAGGTACTGTAGCCAGCATGTTCTGCTTAAACTAGTTAGGTACTGTAGCCAGCATGTTCTGCTTAAACTAGTTAGGTACTGTAGCCAGCATGTTCTGCTTAAACTAGTTAGGTACTGTAGCCAGCATGTTCTGCTTAAACTAGTTAGGTACTGTAGCCAGCATGTTCTGCTTAAACTAGTTAGGTACTGTAGCCAGCATGTTCTGCTTAAACTAGTTAGGTACTGTAGCCAGCATGTTCTGCTTAAACTAGTTATAATACAAACTAAAGTTAAGCTTAGATTTCTCTATTTAGTACATCTGTAGATACACTTTTGTTTTATATAATATTAATCAAACACTTGTAGTACAATAGTAAAGCAGGTTTTTAACATGCTTATAACTAGATGAAATTATAATTGTATATCTGTGTATAGCAAGGCAACAAGTCTTCTTGAAAATATGGAGGCATCCATGGACATACTTGAAGCGTTGGAATACAAGCTTTTAGATGATCCAGACTCTCAGAAAGCACAGGAAGTGATGGTGACTGGACTAGAGAATAAAGGAGGTGTACAGACTGGTCAGGCAGGCAAGGGGAGAGAACTAGGGAGGACCACCCCAGGGTCAAGGGCAACACATCCAAAACTATCATGTTATTCCAGCTCTACAGAAGTCCGAAGAATTATTGCAGAATCCGGGGGCACTGCAGAAAGACTCAATGCTGGTTCAGCAGAGATGATTTCCCCATTACAGGAAATTTCAAGTAAAATGGAATTTCGCGGCTTGAGCTCTGAAAGACGAGACAACATTCAAAATGCAACCGTTCATAATATGAATGATAGTAGGGATTCTGAACAAAGTTTTCCAGAGCAGAGACGTGTAGAAAAATATAAAACACTGTATAGACATGTGGAAAATATGAAAGAGAGACTGGCTCTGGGAGGATGTCAGCAGAGTCATCAGCCTCGAACTCTGTACCAACAATTGAGTGGCCAGTACAATACTCGCTTATCTTCCTGTCAAACCTTCCCTGGTCAGTCTTACCCGTACTCTAGTCATCCTTACCCCAGTCATCTTCATCATTTCACTAATCAACCCAGGGTCCAACTGCTTCAGACATGTCACCAAAGGTTTGCCATAGAGTTGCTGTTCAATGTTAACCAATTCCGTATTCATATAGAATTCTATGCTGTTGAATATTAAACCAGTTCTGCATGCTTAATTAATGCTTACAATTTTCTTGATATTTATATTTTCTTTATAATTTATTCCGGGTTCAAAAAGTTCAATTTTGTGATGTTGTTTGTTTTTTATTTGATCTTTAACATGTAGCTTCAGTGTTGTTATAGAGATTACATGTTCTGTATCATATTGAGATAATAATGTGCTTGAGAGATTTTGATTGTCTGATATTGGTTGATGCAGGTTACAATATAACAATAATCAAGGCTTATTATATTAATTACATATTTGGAAACCAACAACCTCTTGTTGTCCCTCTAGTTAGTTCTGTACTGATCCTCTTTTAACATTACCAAGTAAATCTGATGTTTCCATTGAAACTTGTCCCCTCCCAACGATTATTTAATGGCATGTTTGTCTATTTAAGTCCAGAATAAGTGACTGATACTAAGTAGCTGTACATGTACATCCCCCCCCCCCTCCCGGTATATAAACATAGTATAATATGATAGTCTGAATAATGTTAGTATACCAGGTAATATGATAGTCTGATAGTGTGGCCCTACAACACCTAAAGGACACCTTGTAATGTAAGACTTGGTATCATGGCCCTACCAACACCTAAAGGACACCTTGTAATGTAAGACTTGGTATCATGGCCCTAC